TCTTTGAGACTAAGGGCCTCGGCAGATGGCTTATTAAGCCATCTCTGAGGCAGGGAAAAGGAGGGGCAGCCGGCGCCTCTTCCTCCTCCCAAGGTTGCCCTCAGAGCTGGCGGCCCTCCGCACGGCCGGCGCTCCAGGGGCAACCTCCTGCTGCAGTGTCCGCACACGCTGTGGTGGATAAGTCAGTGAAAGTGCGCCTCACGCTTTTGAGGTGCACTTTTTCTGACTTGTGAAAGGAGTGCTATTTTAGCGCTCCTTTCAGGGACAGCGAAAGTGCGCTGCTGGATCGAGTCGTGGGGATGCCTCGATCCAGCGGTGCACCTTCCCACAGCGGCCCAGAGCCACCAGTCTGCTTCCCCCCAAACTGTGTGAAAAAAAGTTGCAGCATAAGCTTTCATAGATTTGCATTTCAGATTTTGTGGAAGAGACTTATGGCAATCCTAGTTGCAAGAAACTTCTTTTGTACACCATTCTGGGATAGGATAGAGGGAGGCTGAATGGAGCAGCTGCAAGGAAACAAGCTGTGTCTCTCCAGACTGAGAGGCGAGAGACCTAGCATGGATCCTCCATCTTTGCCTCACCTTAGAACAGAGCAAACAGACCCTGTCCTTCCCCTTTCCTTGCTCCCTTCCCTCTTTGGGCACCAAAATACTTGCCATGCCCACCTTTTCCCAGAAATTTCTTAGCTTCCCCCTTCAAGGAGCACAAGGAGGAAAGCTTCTTTAGGTAAGACTTAGCTTCCCCCTTCAAGGAGCACAAGGAGGAAAGCTTCTTTAGGTAAGAAAGACTCCAGCTGGTTCTAAGGCAAAAGAGATGGGGGGGGGCAAGCATGCACTCTTCTTTCTATTTTAGACTAGCTAGTTCAAGGCAAAAGGAAAGGAGAGGCAGGTATGTACTCATCTTTCCCTTTTGTCTTGGCTAGCTAGCTCAAGCCAGCTAGCCAAAGCAGAAGGGAAGGGAAGGGGGCAAGCTCTTCCTCCGTCCCCCCTTGCGTTGGATACTGTCAATGTTCTGGAGACTCCTGGGTTTTATGTTCCTTTCCCCCCTTTTATTCCCCTCTCCCTCCCTTTGCCAGGAGGAGGAGGAAGAGGAGAGTGGCTGCAGGGACATTCTTGCCATGGGCTGCCCTGAGGTGGAAATCTTTCCTGCCCGCGCTCTTCAACTGGCACTCCATTCGGGCAGAGTTGTTCCTTCCATAGAGGGGCCTCCCTCTTTCACTTTCCCAAGCCACCTCCCAGCCTCACCTTCCTTCCCCCAAATACTAACTTTGGGGTTCCAGGCTCCCTCTGGAACATGAGCTGGCTAGCAGCAACTCTTGTTGTTCTTGTTGCTGTTGCTGCTGCTGTTGTTGTTGTTGTTGTTGTGCACCTTCAGGTTGTTTTGACTCATGAAGACCCTAAAGAGAATTTATCATGAGGTTTTCTTGAAAAGGTTTCTTCAGAGGGGGTTTACCATTGCCTTCCCCTGTGCTGGGAGAGTGTGATACGTGGCAAGCAGGATTTCATTTACTTCATTTGCTCACCCAGTGGGATACATGGCAAGCAGGATTTCATTTACTTCATTTGCAAAAGTACCCAGAAACAGCAGCTTCCCTTGCTTATGCTACTTTCTCTCTCTCTTCTCCCCCTCTAGTAGAAACAGTGGATACTTTCTCTCTCTCTTCTCCTCCCTCCCCCCATAGAAACAGTAGATAATTTATCTCTCT